AAAAAAAAAAAAAACAAAAAAGTGTCCTGATGTATTATATGCGGTGTGCAATACGTTTTTACTTTAGCCGGTGAGTCCACGTGTCATCGGTATGCGAAAATCCGGATGCGACGGTAATCTGATGGCGCGGCGCAACTTCTACTTCTTTGATCACATAGAAAATAACGTGTAGACGTGCTGTCTGCCGCGATCTGTTCGCCATCGTGACGCTGCCGAAGGTCCCTCACCAGGTTTTTCTTCGCGTCTCATACCTCGAGAGAGGAGCGTCTCGCACGTCGCCGCTTTTTTACGGCCACTTATAACCGGAATCTCTTCGCGTCGCGCTTCCGCATTCGCCTTAACTGCCACATTGTGAACACATAAAACATAATAAATATGGATGGAAGGTGTCCTGGCTTTCCGCGCTGTCATCGGTCTCCCTCTCTCCCAAACTCTTTCTCTTTCTCTCTCTCTCTCTCTCTCTCTCTCTTTCCGTCTCCCCCTTCTTCTCACCAGGAGTACTTAAGGATTCAAGACCAAGGATCGCGTGGACGGCGTTCGATATCGATATTTATACACGTTGCACGAACAATCATGTTGATTGATTGGCGGTTAATCGATCGACGATGTGATAAATCTCTCTTTAGAAACGCGGAGAACGAAACGAATGAATTTCGGCGAAAAACGCCGAGTCTTCTTATCGTTCGTGCCGCGAACGAAAAAGAAGATGTCTTTGAGGATAAACGATACATATGAAAATATGATTGTCAAAACCTTTACCTGATTAGTACGGCGAAGAGAAGGCGAAGCTATTGGAATTGTTAAAGGCCGGCGAGTGACACTGAACAGACTTCGTCGGTCTTATATATCCGCAAATGCCGGATTCAACCCTCGCGCTAGGGAAACCCCCGCTGCTTATCTTCTTTTAATTCGATCTCTTCAATTTCCTGCACTCAACACCGTGCCGCAGTGTCCTATGTATCTTTACAGAAGAGCTACACATTACGATCCGACTTTTGTGATTAGAAAAAAAACATACTGTGTAGGTATGATACATTTTGTATACTTTGTTTCTTCATATACTTTCATTCTTACCTTTTCCCTGCAACTTGCACGATTCATCGTGAGTGTAATATAAAATGTTACACGATCTATCATAAGTGTAATATAAAATTTGGTAACATATACATATAAATATTTTGCTATAGAAAAAATATAAATATTTGTATAATTTAAATATATATAAAAATAAATTTATAAATATAATAATAATATATAATAATATATAATATATAAATATATTAATAATAATTAATAAATATAAATATAAATATGTGTATAAAAACACAATGTAAGTTATACGATTACTCAAAAGCTCTTTACTCGATATTTCACATTTAATTAGGTTTTATTTTTAATTATAATCGATTTTTATTTCAAACAGTTAGACAGTGAAGCTAAAGATTTATTTAGATAATTTTTTTTAATAAAAAATGTGAAATTTTTTTGCTTGAAGTATTATGTACACTATTAATTGACTTCTTTATATTACTTTGATTTTTATAATTAATCCCAATGTTAGTTTCCGTTTTGCAAATAAATATTTTGTATTTTTATATATTTTCTATTATCTTTTTATTCACTTTATAATTTTGTTTTTTAACTTATTTATTTAGTATAAATTAATTAAAATGGATACAAAATTGAAAGCATTATTACAGAGTGTATTATTTATATTTAATTTCTATTAACAATTGTGCATCATAACAATACGTGCCATTGTAATAACAAAGAAAATATTATCATGGAACTGATCCAAGTCTAATAATATTAAAACAATTGCTTATTTTATCCAATTTTCAACAAAAAGTATGTAACAACAAGAACATAAGTACATAACATATAACATAATTTAACATAATTTGTATCTTAAGCTTCTTCAGCTTCTTCTGCTCCTTCGTTTGCCTCTTCTTCCGCCTTCCTTCTACGAGGTGATTCATATTCCAAGCTCCAATAATTATTATATTTGATCGGTATTGTTTCACCTTTTTCAACCATTTTATTGAGATTGTCATCTAATCTGGAGAACTGATCCTTCTTATCTAAGATCTTCGATAACGTTTTATGAATTTCTTCCTTGTTCCTCGATTCTTCTTTTTGTCTGTCTTCTTCGGCCGTCGAATTATCTCGCAACTGGCTCAAAACATCCTCCGTAAAATAACGAGATAGAAATTCTTTTTCCGTGTCGACTGCATCGGACGATTCTTTATCGTTGTCTTTGTCTTTCTCAAAAATACGCTTAAAGAAATCTTTATCGTCATAGGGATAATAATTTTCGTTGTTTATCTCGCTCTCTTTCGTTTCCTTCTTCTCGTATGAATCAGTCTCCTCTTCCGTTTTATCCTTGTCATCGGAAGCGACGTCACGCTCTTCGTTTTTCGCGAAATAATCCTGCGATCGTTCCTTCGGATCAGTGGCATATGTCTCGACCTCTTCGGATCCCTCGGTGCGAGGGGGGGGATTTTTCTCATAATCGTATTTCGCGTATTCCCTGCTAATGGCAGCTCGTATGCTCTTAAATAGAGGATCGTTCTTGAAGAACTCGTCCAAATTAAACGGCTTCCTGTACTCGTTTATGTCAAAGTGAACGAAATCCGAGTTTTCACTCTCCTCAGATGACGAGATTTCTGCGGAATCTTCTGCGGAGCGTTGAACGTCCGCGCCGTCCTCAGTGTTATTGCGCAACTTGGTGTCTTCGACGTCGTACTTGTCGGCGCACTCCTTCGGAGAATCCTTATTTTCCGCGCAACGTGAACGCGAGTCGTTTGCATCCAATGAGGTCTCCGGCTCGTCTTCACTTTCAGTCGGTTCTACTTTAATCTCAGCATTCGGGGACTTTGAAGGGAGAGCATCGATGTTGTAGAGTTGCTCGACACCGTAATCGTCATCGTCGTACTCTTTGTATTTCGCTGCAGTTGCGCTCTGGTTGCTCTTGTCCTCCTGTTGATCGGAGTAATCTGATATCTCCACGTAAGGTATTTTTGAAGGATCGTAATTCGGCGTCGTGCTCGAATAATTCTCTGCTTGCGGAGTTTCGCGATCCTCCTCTCGCGGGGCTTTGTCGACGGCACGCTCGATCGGCAAGTACAAGGAGGTAGCGAAGCTTTCTTCAGAAGAATACGGTGGTCCCGGGTCGGTGATGATTTCCTGTGACGAATTGTGCCCCGTCGAGTTATCCGAAGACGAATAATCGACCTGTTCGACTTTATCGGGGAATTTATTCAGGTCGTCCACTTCGGAAGCGCTCGCGATGTTTGCGAGCGGCCGCAAGGTCAGATCATCGTTCAACTTTGCTGCTGCGTTTAACAGCGGAACTGTTGCAGTTTTAGGTTGCCATTGGGTATCATTTGCGACGGGCCAAAAGCCCGATATATAAGAATCGGGATCGGATATTTCCGACGACGGATTTATCGTGTCCGCGATATCGAGCGAGCGTTTTTCATTCGTTGTCAGTTGCTCGTAATCGTCTGTTTGTTCTTGGATGCATAACGGGGTCGAAGCTGCATCACTTTGCCCGATATTTGCGTCTCGTTTAGAACGAATCTTTGAATTTTCATACGCCTGGGTTGCATTAATTATATCCCAGATACGTTTATAAAAGTCTCGTTCCGGTTTAACATTCGGGCTTATCACTTGCGATTTGTCGTTCTGCGATTGCGAGGTCGCAATTCGATCATTGTCCGTGCATGTTGAGTTATCTTTCTCGGAATTTTTTTCCAGGGAATCGCCGATAATGTCGGAATGAGAACGGGTGCCATTAATATATTCCCAAATACGTTTGTAGAATACAGTACTCGGTATCGCGCTGTTCGCCGTTTTGAGATCGGCCACCTCTTTTTTCCTCGAAGAATTTCTTGATTTACTGTCCGTTTGTTCCTTTCGAGGACGGGATTTCGAGTAACGAGATTTTTTATTTGAAACAACAGTTTTTTTCTCTTCAGCACGCCGCGAATTCTTAACTGTCGTCGAACTTTTTCTCGATTCGTGAGACGAACGTTTCGAACGTTTCTTGCCGATCATTGCCTGAATGTTTTCGGCTACTTCCGACATTTGCGCAATTTTTTGCCGCTTCTGTCGGATAGCCTCGACAACTGTTGTTATTTTAACGATTTCCATGTCAGGAGATAAATTTACATTTTTAATTTGATTATTTACAGGAGAGGTTGTCAGTGACATGATTCGTTCGTTTAGAAACTTTTCTTGCAATACTTTCTGAGGCATTTTTAAGCGTTGCGCTAAGTTTCTCCGTCCAACAGAATATGCCCACCAAGGCTTGCTCGGCTCTTTTTTTAAACCGTTCGCTGCATCTTTTCCCACGGATTTTAATTTACGATTTAATTTGTTAATATATGCTTGCTTTGTTAATATGGGCTTAATCTCTGATGCAGCTTGTGTAGGTTTCATTATGATATTCTGAAAATAATTGAATTACAATTAGCGACACTAAATAAACATTGTAACATTAATTAAATTATGAAAAAAATTAAAATAATAATTTTGATAATGTTACAAAAAGTCAAATATTAAAAAAAAAAATAGTCATTATTTTATGTGCATTAAGAATATAATATTATACAAAATAATTAAGAAATCTTATGTTCGCATATATTGTCGTTAGATAAAATATTAAGAATGCAATCTGAATAAATATTTAACGATAGTGAAAATATGTACTTACATTTTGTGTTTTGTGAAAAAGTTTTGTGAGAAATACGTAAATATCAGATTCCATATCTTGCAAATAATTCTCACAGCGTTAAATTGTACTCGTGCATTATGTACTATCGTGTAATAAATTGTGCAATTATATATTATACAATAATTCTAATTTCAACAAACATCGTTAGACGTCTCTACTCCTTTTGCGATCTCTCTACTTATGTGCAATTTTTGCTTGGCAAATCGAAAAATAATATGGAAAAGTATGTAGGGGCATATTAAACAGGGGTTCTTATTAAATTGACTTTATTTGTAATTATATACAAAAAGTACAATACAAATGATAACTACGTCATTACAGTGGCGCAGAAAGTATACGTTTCGATTATAGATTCATAGGAGCATGAGATATTAATGCTATGCAAATTTCTGAGCCACTGTGCGTGAATATTTACATATTGCTTATTACAATAATGCCTGAAGCAATAATTAATCATTGTACAAAAATATATCATACATTTTCATTAATGTACTTTCATTTGCTTACACTGATCTCCTACCACTGGCAAATAAATATTAGATTTCATTTCACTTTGATTAAGCAAACGTACATGTGCTCTCGTACTTGGTAACATTGAGTTAACGCGTCTGAAAAGGAAGCCGTCACTTTTAAAAGGAGTGACCCATACGCAGTAGATAAATTATATACGTTAAAATTACTACTAAACTGAGTATAAAGCTAAAGCAACAAAAGAAAAATAACGACTTATCCGTTTGATCGTCGTTGATTAAGCTCAGTCATTGTTACAAAAGAGTGCTGTAGACATTTCGCGAAAAAAAAAAAAAAACGTTAATCTGATCTTTCACATTTTAAGGCAAGTCCGTCGGATAACGGATTCTACTATCGTAGAAACAGAGGTATCATGAACTTTTATATATTATCAAGCCTGACATCATTCAAGAAAGATACTTCGTACCTACGAATACTTACGAATCTATACTTATAGAACATTTACGCATACATACACATACACGTATATATACGTTATACATCTCTCGCTGTACAGTATAGCCGTTGATCGACCGTTATATCTCCATGTTCGTGACGCACCTTACATATTGCCCTCAAAGCGCAGCAGCAATGTGTGACGTGTATGGCGGCAGATATTTTACGATCAGGCGCTTTTCTCCCCCGCGGTGCACTGCGCTTATTTTCTCGTGAAGCCCAGATACGAAGCAATGCCGTTAATATTCTCAAAGAAGATTCGATAAGCTTGCTGCCTGTCGTAGTGCTCCCGTACCATCGCCGGTTTCACCGGACGCTCCTCCACCCATTGCTATATAGTACAATAGGCAATTGTAGGTATTGATGTGAGGTGCACGGCAGTCGGGATGTGTGGAGTTAGAAATGGTAAAATGTAAATCGAGATCGCGCGATTTGGAGAGCAGACGCGATCATTTGGTTCTCCGACCACGTCCACCTTCCACTGATGCGGATACTAACCGTCCGTATTACTAATTTATTCTTTTATTCTTTTTTTTTTTTTTTTTTTTGGTTTAGCTCTTGGTGTTGGAAAAAGATAAAGAATAAATTAAACCGAGATTAATTGTTTCTATATCCAAAGTTGATCTACATTAAGGAAAATGAGCGTGATGTGTATGTCCGAGCACACGACACTTTATCTGTTACTGGTGTTAGATAGACTGGGGGAGGGGGGGGGGGTATATGAATGTGTAGATTAGGAATGCAAGACGATAGGATGACATATCAAGTCCCATATGTCATTTAATTTTATGTAAAAAGGGATAGTGCAGAGAATATAAAATTGTAGAAAAAGAAATGTCAAACGCTTCCACGTCTACATTGGGATTTGCGTTTCAAGCAAATCGATATTTAATTTTGGTAATAATTTTGAATATTTTTTATGGGTGATTTCATGGGTGAATCGTGTGAAAAAAAAACACGCGATGTGTATAAAACAGAATGATAAAAAGATGATAAAAAGTTTTATTGTTTGAAGTATTATATTTAAAAAGATGGCACTTACATAATTTCGCAGATAATAGTGTGAAGTATTCCGGATTTCAACTTATAAAAATAACACCATTCGCAAACTGTAATCGAATGCACAATCAAATGATCGCGCTTTGCGTTAAAAATCGGAAATTTTTATTTTTGTGTTCAAGATTATATTTTTAATATACTTTAAAAAGGCACAAATATGGAGTAGATTATCAGTGAGCTTCAATCGAGAAACCTAAAGAATACTCAAATCCACGGAAAATATATATATATATATATATATATATATATATATATATATATATATATATATATATAG